CTTAAGCTCTTGATCCGCCCACGAGCATGGGTTCAAAGCCCACTGCAGCGTGAGCCAGGGAATGAGGCTAGGCCCCCTTCTCTTGTCACCTCTCCCCTCCAAACAGGGTTTTCCATGATTTACAAGCTGCTTCAGGAGAGGGGGGGTGTCGAGAAAGGCAGAAGGGGCAGGGTCTTCTCGTTGCTTAGCAGGCTTGCGCTGTTGCAAGAGAGGGGCCTAGAACCCATGGCCTCCTATTGTGCCAGTCATCCCTCAGGGGTCTCCTTGAGGGCAACCAGCCTCCATCTTGCAGACATGGGCCATCCCTTGATTCTAGCACCCTCTCAGGGGCTATTGCTCAGATGGACGCAAAAAGACCAGAAGGAAGGCTGGAGGCAGATGCTCTGTGGCCCAATGTGGCGGCATGCTCGGAACAGGGGGTGGGGAGTGGATCCCCTTGCTTAGCAGGCCAGGAGGACTGGGGGTGGGACTAGGAAGAAGGCAAGAGTGAGGCTTGATGCCCAGAATGCCAGTCACTGGACTGTGTCCACAGGGCAATGTTGCACCCAACCAAGTGCCATCCTGGGCACCACCAGCCTGGGAGGAGCAGAAGACCTGAGGTTCCCTCCAACGCTCCCTGGAGGCCTCTGGTCAGAACAGATAGGAAAAAGCTCTTGGCCACCCTACCACTGCTGTCTCCGGGATGGCAACCTTGGTCTGTCCTGAGGAACAGCCTTGCTGGCCCAGCTGCAGGCTTCTAGGTCACTCAGTGGGAGGCCCTGGGACCTGAGGGAGCCTGGCTTCCAAGAAGACAAGCTCCCAGCTCTGCCCAGCAGAAACAGATTCTGAACATCTGCCAGCCTCTCGGCCTTGACAGCCTGCTCTCCGTCATCACCCAAGCCTCTGTTCCAGTGCCAAGTAGGAGTCTCCTAGATGGCCCACAGTCTCTGGGGTGGTACCTGGTCCCCTCTGTTACAGAAATCTGGTCCCCCCCCCCCCCCGAGCTGAGTCTAGCAGGCACAGGGGAGAACAATTCCCTCCTCAGGCCCCACACACTCTTGCAGACCTCACCCGCATCAGCCCAGGCTAGAACGAGAGACAGGTCCAAATCCTGTCACACAGATCTAATGCGACAATAAATGCGGCTGTTATTTGGTCCCGAGAGCCACATCCCTTCTACTTTGTCAATTTCAGCAACTGTTTAAGGAATAGCCTCTTCTCTCTTCTCTAAACATAGCCCAGAGTGGTTTTCATGACAGCCTGCCCATTCCTAGGCAAGAGAGGGTTCCAAGCACAATAAACAACCCCGTTACATAATGGGATGCCAGGCAGGGCTAAGTGCTGCGAAGAAAGAACAGAACAAGATGAGAGGAGGGAAGACGGGAGGGCAAGTCTGCTCGCTGCGATTCAGGAGGAGCTCCCGGGGATGGGGTGCAGGAAGAGAGGAGGGTCTAGGAGAATCAGTGCCAGGCTCAGAGAGTAGCAAGGAAACCAAAGCAGAGCTAGCAGGGAAAGGGCAAGGCAAGTTCCGATGGTGGGACTCCGCTAGGACTCCGGGCTTTCCTCTGGGGGTGTAGGCAGCTACCAGGGGATTCCCAACAGAGGGTGACATGATTGTCTCATTTTCTTTCTTTCTTTTTTTTTTCAGATTATAAGATACACACATTTTTTTTTAATTGAGTCTGGCTCTATAGCCCAGATGGGTTTCATAAACTCTTCGGTCTTCTGAGCTCTAGGGTGACGTGTGGACCACCATCCCCTGCTATCATAATCATTTTTAAGTATGTAGTTAAGCAACTGTTAAATACTTGTTATAATGTACAATCGTCACCCCCAGTCACCTTTGCAGCTTTCCACCTCTTAAGTGGGGGGGCCTCTGTACCCAACCTCTCAAGTGGGGGGGCCTCTGTACCCATGGAACAGCTCTTCCTCCTTCCCCCTTCCAGCCCCAGTAACCAAGGACACCCTCATACACTGAGGTGAATACCATGGCCAGCGGGGAGCAGAAATTCCAACTGGGACTCTGTGAGATGGGATGTAGTCACTCAGTTAGGATGGGGCAGAGAATGAAGACAAAAGTGGAGTAGCATGCTGTCACAGGGGCCAAAGAGTCTTGTGTGGAGAGAGGTGGGTCAGGGAGCAATCCAGAAGCCAGGATAACGCTAAGATCTTAGCCAGAACAACTCGGTGATAGTAATACAGGAGGCAGAGAAGTCTGGGAAGGGGATGCCTGGGACATGGTGCATCTGGTCATGCTACATTTGAGATATGACTGACTGATATAGAAGTTAGGCTGGGGACCTTTAAATCTTAGGGTCATTTAGGATGATGTTTAAGGCACTGGCCAAGACTGCGAAGAGAGAAAGCAAGGTCGAGGAGGAAGCCCAGAGAAGAGTCTGCAAGGCCGTGGGAGGGGCTGTGATGAGGACCTGAAGAAAAAGAGGGGCTCAGTGAGGAGGGAGGAAGACAAAGGGCTCACCACTCATGACAGAACTATGACAGAGAACCATGAAACATCGGCCAAGTGGAGGATGCTGGTCATACCATCAACAGATGACCTGGTTTCTCCCATGAGACAATGGAAAAGAAAGAGAGGGAGGAGCCGGTACAGATGGAAAGACTTGAAAGACTTAACCAAATGCAAAGCATGGACCAGATGCAGACAGACGATTCTGAGACACTAGGGGAGCTGGAATCCAAACAGGGATGCTCTAGCGCCACCCCCTGCTAGCTTAGTCGTTTCTCTAGCAAAGAGAAAGCAAGGAAGGGCCAGCCTTGAGGTGGTGCTAGATGGGAGTCCATGCGGCCTCGGGACTCCCTGGATTTTTGCAGCTGGTAGTGTCTTTTCATAATAAGTTTAAACATTAAGGACTGATCAACTCTAAGTGCTGCTGAGCAGAACAGCCAGAGAAAGGCTAAGAATGACCCCTGAGCTGGACAAGACGGAAGGTGGCTTTAATCAGAGCAGAGAGGCGGGACAAAATCTGGCTGTGGTTAAGTTTCCATTCGCTTATAAAGTTTGGAAATGACCACAGTAGCCAGAAGGCTACTCTTTTGAAGAATTTTGCTAACCAAGAAATGGAAAGGAGTGGGAATGAGAGAGGGAGGAGGAGGGGCATTCTTTCACAGACACAGACATGGAAGCGTAGTGTATTTGAGGTCAAGCACCTATGTGTGCTGGCTCAAGACGTGCGTCAGAGGAGTGTTGTTTTCTCCTCAGCTTAGTGGTCACGCCTGAATCTACTGATATTTTAACTACTCTCTGTGCCCCATGGCCCCACATGAACACACCACCACTCAGACCAAGGCCTGGCGAAGGTCACCAAATGTAGGTTTTAACTAACTCTCTAATGTTCTAGTTACCAATAAAGATTCAGGAGTCAGCTGTTGGGGTGAAAACCTGCTAGGTCAGAGAAGCCGAGAAGCAACCAACTGGAGACCCAGTAGGAGAAGCATCTCTCCACGTGTCCTGAAACAAAAAGACCATGAATCTCTTAAGTCTCTTCCTACACCGTCCTGTGCCTCTATCCCTATCCCTATTCCTGGCTCCTCCATCCTCTCTGTGGCTAATTCCTGTCAGCTGGTCACCGGCTCCACGCCCTGATCCAAGGTTAATTTTATTAACACTGTCTCGGAGTTTCACAGTCCGATCAGATATCCTGCAATAGAGAAGACTGTTTGACTCTGCTAAGCCAGTTCGTCCTGGTCACCCGAGTGGGCATCATTAGACCGGCATAGATAACCGAGTCCTAACTGTCATTAGGTCACACGGGGAGGACAGGTTGGGAGGGGACAAGATCCTGGACCACTGCAGTCCGCTGGCCTGGGGGAAAATGCTTTCTGTGCAACAGTGGGGACAGGATTTCCAGCAGGATACCTAGATCAATGTCTGCAGCCCCCCTGCAGCTCCCCAAGCCCTGCCACTGGAGCTGAGCAGAGAAGACTGCCCAGCTGACAGCAGGCACACCCAGCTGGCACCAGCTGCTCCCTGTCTGTACTGAGAAGGAGGAGCCCCAGAACAGGACAGTTGCCCTAAGACATTCTCTGTGCCCAGGTCAGCTGCAGTCCTGGAGCCTCTGGGAGAACCAAGCCACCTGCTCATGCAATGCTTACTTTTCATGCTGTGCTCTTCCATTAGGTTCCGAAGTGTCCCCGACCCCAGGCCCGTGGGCTCGTTCCCTTGAGGAATAAGCACGCTGTGTGTCATATGTGACTTATTTATCTTTGTGTTACTTGGGAAAAGTGCTTGACAGAAACAACATAGGAGGAAATATCATTCCGTCTCGTGGTTTCAGAGGATCTCAGGCCATCACAGCAGGAGGACATGGCAGAGTTCCTGGTGGACCAGGAAGGGTGGGACCAGAACCAGGGACCCACTTTCGAGGCACCCTTAGTGCCTACTTTGACCAACCAGATCCCACCTTCTAAAGGTCCCACAGTCTTCAAAATTGTTGTCACAAGCTAGGCAGCAAGCATTCAAAACTGTCCCACTCAAATACAAACCACTCCCTCCCCAAGCACAAATACTAGAGAAGGTTATATCACTTCCAAACTGAGCTCTAAATGGGCAATGCTGGGGGTGGGACGCCTCCACTAAGCGGCAACTGAGAGACAGGGTCTTTTCACTCGCGTGCTCAGCACAGGGTCTTCAAGGCCACTGTGAACTCTACTTTAAACCGGTGAATGACTGAGCATGGGGACACCTGGAGATGGGCGTAGCACGTGTGGAAGTGTCCCCAGTATCCACACAGGCTACTGTTAGAACTGTCCCCTGTCCCATCTGTTTCAGGGAAGCTGGTTCAAGTGTGTGCCCAGAGAAGAGAACTGGATTTGGTGGCCTCATAGCCAATCTAAACCCAAGAACCACGACAGCTCCACCACCACCACTGCCTCTGGCCTTCTCTTCCCAGACCTCTTCCTATTCCACCTGCTCAGGCCTTGGTCCTGCCGACCCCAGCACCCCAATCCTGATCTGAGCCCCAGGACTCTGTAGCCCCATCTGGCACAAGTCAAGGCCCACAGAAAGACCAGGCATGGGGGGTCAGCACACAGAACATGTTTATTTCTTGTGAGCTTACAGAACCGTGACATAGAGCAAGAAAGTGTGGATGACTGGGGACAGGAACAAAGGCCTTTCCCACTGTATTCTCCCCTGCTTCCCTGCCCAGGCACACATTCCCCTCAAGGGTTAAACACAGAGTTAGGCGCCCACAGCTGGAGGAAGCAGAGAGAGCAGAAGAGGGTGGGGAGACAAGATTCAGCCCTGCTGGACTAGCGTGGCAGGAAGAGTCCTGCAGCTCAGGGCCATGTGGGATGAGGTCACTCCTCCTTGCCCGACTAGCCTCTCAGTTCTGTCTGGCCAGCTTGGTCCCCGCCCCCAGAAGGAACACTGGGGTGCTTCTACCAGAAACGCTGAACCAAGGGCACAGGAAGTTTTATATGGGACATCTGAGCAGCTGAGACCTGGGGCCACTGCCACGGAAGAACACCATCTTCCCTGCTCCTCTTGCCTGAGATCCCCAGCCACACTGAAGCTGGTCCTTCTCTTCATTTTTGGAAAGTAAACAGCCTGGACAGCCTGGCAGGAAAGCATCGGAGAGACTGAGCAGACGGGTAGAAGGTTCTAGAAGCCTAGTCACTTTACCGTCACCGTGGCTGAGGCTTCTCTGAGAAGAACTCCCATGCCACTTTACTACCCAAACTGTTTTTGTCTCATGGGGAGAGCTAACCAGGCATGCAGGGGTGCACCTATGGGGAGGAGGGGAGCCTGAAGGCCCCTCTGGAGGGAAAACCCCACCTCTCTGCAGTTGACCAGGAACTGAGACAGAGTCCTCTCCCATCACCTCTCTAGGATGGCCAAGGGGACAGAGGCCAAGGTGCAGGGAAGCCCTGGGGGAGGGGCTGAGGCTACTATCGACAGATCAACAGACAGACAAGAAGGTGAGGACGCTGGCTCTTCTCTCACTCCCTGTCCAAGCCTCGGCTCATGGCTTGCACCACAGCTCCGTAGAGGTGGCTCCAGGCAGCCTTTGTGGCCGGTGTGAAGTCAGGACCCAGGCACTTCTCCAGCATGTAGAGCAAGGACTCACCCACTGTCTGCGGAAGCAAGCCATACTTAGTCACGGGAAAGCGGGAAAGCGTCGCTCCATTTACAGGGGAGAAAGCTGAAGCCCTGGGCCAGAAAGGGTACACAGGCTTTTCTTCTCTTCCACACAGGGCTCACACTTCCCAAGCAGGTCCCGAGTGTAACCTTGAGCATCACCCTGTGCCCACCTTTCCCTCGAGATGTGAGGATGTTTGGCGGATACAGCATTCCTCTCACTCCTGTCTTTGCAACCACCCCATGAGAGGGGCCTGGAAACCGCTCAGACTCAACTATGCCAGCACCTGCAGATCATAGTTTCCCCACCTGCAAGGCGGCCGTGAGATTAAAAAGCCTTTATTACGCAGTCAGGTAGGCGAGAGTTCACATTCTGACCAGCACTCATGGCCTGGATGGCCCGGCGCAGTTTCCCCATCCCTGAGAGTCTCAGCTGTTTCACGAATAAAACGGAGAACAAAACCCCAGGTTCTGCGAAAGCTCTCTCATCACGGCAGCTGCGCACAGTGTGCCTTATCCAGCAACAAAATGAGGTTTATTTATCCCACATGGATTTCTGAATCTCTCCTAAGGATCAGGCACTGTGAAAATGCCCAGATGGAAAGGCAATTAAGATCACCCCTTGTGACTGGCTCTGGCTAGTGGGACGTTGGTGGCAGTGGTGCCAGCAGAGGTTTTATAAGCGCTTGCCCACTGAGGCTTGGTTTCCTGGTAGCGGTCCTCCTTGGCTGAGATTTAGCTAGCATGAGGGAGGTTTAAAAGCTCACAGGTTCCCTTAGACATCCTAGCCCCAGTGAAGCTGGACCCAGCACAGAGGGGACTCCAACCAGACTCCAGAGGACGAATTAAGTCTAGCCACAGGACTCAGAAACTGCTTTAAGGGAGGACTCTGGAGGTGGTGTGATACCTATAGGAAGATGATCTAATCAACCGATGCCAAGGGCCTCCAGGCCTTCTTAAAGAAGCCGAATTAAAGAGAACTCAGGCTCTGAGGGGTTGGGTCGGTGTCAGTCACATAGCGGGCAAGTCACTAAAGCAAGCCTCTATTTCTGGTCATCTGAGGAAGTGGCGATGTGGAGGAGGAGCAGTGGATTTTGGTGGGGGGTGGCTGGGAGAGAGGGGCCTCCCAGCTCTGGCCTGCAGCTCTGGAGCAAGAAAGTACCCCACTACCCACCGAGAAGGAGCCGAGCCTCACTCCCACAGCCCGGTGCTTCTTGCCCAAGCCGGCCAGGTACTCCTCCAGAGAAGACAGGTCCTCCACATTGGTCACTGCAGCATCAATCACCAGCATCACCTGTGAGGGATACAGAGGGCCCAACACAATCCTACCGCCTTCCCACCACAGCCTAGAGCCCAGACTTCTCAACCAAGGAGGCTTTTCGAATGCTGTTGCCCAGGAGCCGAGGTGACAGGCGGCCAAAGTCTGCAGACAGCAAGTACTCGGTATGCGGCAGCTCGATGACCAAAATTCTGTTTTGAGGATTTCAAAACCCGCAACTACGTGCAGAACACAATACTGCCTGCCTAGGACAGGGCGAACTGAGGTGCAGTGGTGATTATGAGCCCAGCCTAGTTTTCATAGGCAGGTGGCTCCAATTGATCAAGATCCAGTGATACCATCCATGGGAGCCAGAGGACAAGACTTAGAGCAACGTACCAGGCTGGGGCCAGTTGGCTTGAGGACAGAATGGGGGAGGAGGCTGGGTCCAATCCAGAGAGACAGGAATGGGTGTGTGTGTGTGTGTGTGTGTGTGTGTGTGTGTGTGTGTGTGTGTGTGTGTTAAGGCTGTTTTTCCACATCCCAATTCCCTTCTTCCCTACCAAGACAATGTTCTACAGATCTGAGACCTCGTGGCTCCGCACCCCTCACCTTCCTAATGTGGTCCAGGAATTCTGGGGAAGAGAGACAGTCCTCGGGGCTGGAGAACTGGTGGCCGTTGTACTGGAAGAGAGGCAGCAGGTCCGGTTCCAGGGTGAAGAGCCTGTGGGTTGGGGGCAGTGTCATGGGCAGCGAGCAGCAATGGAGCATACTCTGGCAGCTCAGAAGGAGGACGCAGTGCATTCCTAACGAGGCACTCCAGCTTAGTCAGCATCCCCGCATCCCTCTTCTGGGCACCCTCCAGAGGACACTGTGTCCCCAGCCCCTCACATTACCTGGCCGACCACAGCTCCTCCCTAGACAACTGAGGGGCTGAGTTTGGGACAAGCAGAAATCTCAAACCAAAATTCTAGGAGGAAATTTCCCTTTTGGATCAAAACTTCCCAGTGTCCTCAGATATGAGGAGGCTTAGCTGCGAGATGACATGAAGGACACAGCCTTGTACACTGAGCGCTACGCATTATTAGCTAACTGGAGTTGTGTATCTCCCATTCTTTTAAGTAGTGGGTTCAGAGGCAGAAACAAGTTCAGAGAGGCTAAGCAAGCTGCCTAAGTCACACAGTAAAGCCATAGTGGGTACCAGAGTAGCGGGATGAGGGGATGGGGAGTTGGGGGAGGGGTGAGGAGAGTTTGAAAAAATACAGTTAGCACAGCCTCACTGGGGAGAGCTTGCATTTTTATGTCACTGTGTGTGTGTGTGTGTGTGTAACTGAATTTACTCCCTTTTCATCTGCGAGAGGTTTTGCAAAAGTCTTGTTCCGAGGTTTTGGACGGGCCTAGGGATCTGCGATGAGAGAGGGAGTGTGGCCCTGTGCTGTTGGCAGAGCCCGAGGTGACGCCGAAAACCAAACATCCTCCTGTGGAGGCCCACCCACCCTCTCCCTCTCTTCCAGGTGGTGAGAGTGGATGCCTGTCACCCGTCTTCTGGAGCTTCTCTGGTTCCAAGCCTGTGTTTTCCTCAGAAGGGTTCATCTTGCTGGTGACTGGGCATGAGCTCGCCTGGGCCAGAACAACGTGGCCTCCTTCCACTCGAGGAGGGGTGGATGGGCGTGGGAGTCTGTCCCACCTATCTAGGTGCCTGCACACCCCAGCTGACCTTCGGGTCACTCATCTCCTCCTGCTGGCCCAGCTGCTGTGAGCGACCCTGCAGTCACTACCCACTGGGATATCACAGGGTAGAGCAGGGGGCACTGCATCCACCTGCCCGGTCGGTGGGTGCCGGTAAGGGACCCCACCAGTCCCCAATCAGTTCAGGTGGGAGCCGTTAACTGGGAAGAACAGATGGGACGGCACCACCTGTCGCCACGCACACACCCCTCTCTCCGGAGCACCACTGCAAAGCAGAGGAGCGCGCGGGGGGGGGGGGGGCGTTTCTGCTCCTCTCGTGACAAGTCCACTGCTGCCAGTCACCCCTCCACTCGCACCCTGGGGCCCGACAGCGCTCACCTGGAGAACAGGACAGTGCCATGTTCCAAAGGACTGTGGCTCACCGCCCGCCAGCTCTGCCTGATCAGCTCCAGCTCTGGGCGCTCCATGCTTTCCCCGAGAGAGGAGAGAAGCGGGACGCAGGAATGGGACCCTCAGGGCTTGGGCGCAGTCACCGCACGTGCAGCGCCATCTCCGGAGCGACGCGGGGGGAGCGGGGGAAGAGGGAAGGGGGGTCTCCAGGCCCAGTGCCTTAATCCGGCGGGGCTCAGCAACCGCTTCGCTGGTCCAGCCGAGAGGATGCGCACCCGCTGGCGCTTCCGGGGGGGACCCTGCTGGAGCAGTTGCGCCCTGTGCCCCGAAGCTCCCAGAGAACCGCCCTTTAAAGCTATGGTGGTTCCCACCCCCTCTGGCTTAGAGAGACTTGTGCACTCCCTCCGTACCCGCCTTAGGCAGGGACGACCCGAGGCCTGGGAAATGTCCAGGCTTCAGAGCCTAACAGAAATTGCTGAACCTCAGGGCTTGTTTCACTCTTGAAAACTAGCAGAGCTACTACTTATCTGGGCTGGCCTAGAGGCACGTGCACGTAATCTGAGCACTGTGCACGTAATCTGAGCACTGAGAGGCCGGAGGAGCAGGAAGATGAGAGGGTGAAGTCAGAGAGGGTGAAGTCAGCCTGGGCTTCAGAGATTGATTGCCTCACACCCATCCGCTAATAATCACTTCCTATTTCTGAGGAAGAGCCCAGGAGCACAGCGTTCAAAGTGAGTTCTAGTTCCCCACAGGAAAACTCTTGGACTTGCCATCCCCGGGGCCCGTGCTTTCTGCTCACAATCCCTGAGTCCAGCTAACAGGACCCAATTTGATGAAATTGGTCTGTCTGTCTGTCCTCTGCTCAAGCCCTGGGTCTGAGTGGGGCATTTGCAAGGAAAAGAGCCCAAGCTACAGCTATCTGTAGGCTAAGTAACTAAGTAAGCTAACTGTAGGCTTCAGTCTCAGGCCTGCTGGGTCAGGACAGAAATAACTAGAAATGCACAGAGTTAAAGCCACGCTCTGTCATCCTGTGACCTACTGAAAATCAGGACAAAAAACAACAGTGAAAAAACAATGAACAAACCCCCCAAACCCTCCAAAACAAAAACAACAAAGAAATCAGGGGCTTGGGAAATGGTTCAGTGGGCATACTTGCTCTTCGAGTGTGAAACCCTGAGTTCACACCCCAGCACTCAGATTAAAAAAACAAACAACAAAAACAACTGGGAGTGACAGCACGTGCCTATTATCCTATTATCCCAGCACTGGGGAGACAGAGGTAGGTGGGTCTCTGTGAGTTGGAGGCCAGCTTGGAGTTGTAGAGCATCCAGGGCTATGTAGGGGGACACTGTCTCAAAAGGGGAGAAAACCAGACACATAACACACACGCAGAGCCGGGGCCTAGTGACTGTAACACTGGCACCGAGAAGGTGGAAGACTAGGGTTTCTGCGGCTAGCTAGCCAGTTCAGTGAGTTCCAGGTTCACTGAGAGCCTGTCTTAAACTATTAGTCGGAGTTCCTGAGGAAGACACATAAATGAATACGATTTTCTAAAAGGGGCTCAGGTAAGTCCTGTGCTTGTCACTCAGGGTCTGCAGCTGGCCACCGGTCAGTTAGTACTGTTCTTTCAAGCATGGAAGTTCTTTGGCCCCAGCCCAGTTCCACTGGCTCAGGCATTGGACAGCACACCCCCTTATCTTCCATTGTCGCCTCTGCATCCTCATGTTCTGTAAGGGTTTGAGTGGGAAGGTCTCTAGAGTCTTGTTGCATGGACTCAAACCAGTGTCCTTGGTCTTCAGTTATGAACAGACTGAAGCCCTTCTAGAACCTCTTCTGGTGGCCCGTCTATCCTGCCCCACCCAAGCTCCTAAGATTAACGTTTAGGGACACCTATCCCACTTTTCTCCATCTCTGTTTATCTCTGGGCCCCTGGACTGGAGCAGGAGAGCAAGGCTTTAGGGCAGCCTGGCAAACAGCCCATGTCCCAAAGAGTTCAGGAGACCCCAAGCAACCCACCTGGCCGGTCTGCACCCTCCACTCCACTCAACCTCTATCTACTTCCTGGAAGTCCTCACTCAGAGCCCTTGCTGCTTTTTCTCTTAACTGCCTCTGAGAGCTGAAGAGTTGATGGGAGTAATGGACTTATGCCCTACGTGGAGCGACCAGCACCCAAGCCCACAGTTCCTCTTGTCTTCCCGGAGCCAGAGTGACAGAAGGACTAAGTGGGCTCTAATCTCTGCTCCCCTTGGAGAGGCCCCAGGATCCGGTATAGTCTAAGCAGTCAGGGTGAGGTATCCCCACCACAGATGGTCTGAACTCTACTTTAAGGGGCTGGAGAGATTTCTCCTCCCTGTCACAATCTAGGAGAGTTCAAGTGTTTTCTAGTCAGGGCTGTCAATGTGTCATTAATGTCCTTAAAGGACTAGCAGACTGGGCATGTGTCCAGACACTGTGCCCATTAGCTGTAACCTCCCAACAGCCCTGTGACCCTGTGAAGGAGATGCTCTTTATTATACCCTTACCTCACAGTAAGGAAATAGGAGGCAAGGAAGTTAGCATGCCCATAATTCAGACTGAGCCGAGGTTACTGGGTCTGAGTCAGTGCAGGGCTAGATCATAAAGCTGACTATGCACCTCTTCCCAACTTCTTGCTCACTGACATCAAGTTGGTACCTTGAAATGGCCACACGGGCAGCATTTGCACCACGGAAAATGGCAAATACTATAAGCTAGGGTTTAGTTTTGCCCCCACAGGAAACCTGCTATAAAATATTTACCTCCACTGGGGGAACCCAGAAAGCCTGGATCTTAGTACATTATGCAGAATGTGCAAATTATCAGACTCAACTACAATACCCACAAGCTGTGCCTAGCCTCATTTCAGTGTCCAGGGCTACGGGGGTACTCTAGGCATGTCCTTCCAGTCCAGAACCAGGCTACGGCTTTAAAGACCCCCTTTTGCACCAAGTCCTGCCTCATATTTTCTAAATATGGATCTTTAGATGAGTAATACAATCTCTCATGGGTACAACGGCAACAAGGACGGTGGCTTCCCTGGGCCTTCAGGAGGACTAAATGTCACATGTATTAAAATGGTGTTAACTGGTTGGTGGGGTGGCACATGTATTTAATCCCAGTACTCGGGAGGCTGAGGTAGGCCAAGCTCTAAATTTGAGGTCAGTCTGGTCTACAGAGCAAGTTCCAGGACAACTAGGGCTACACCGAGAAACCCTGTCTCAAAAAACAAAAAGCCCCAAACCAGATGTTTCCTAAGCTATTGTCACTCAGACAAATTGGTTCCTTTCTGATTTGCCTATCCCTGGCATCTTCCAGATGCTACCTCCAGAGTGATGGGAATGACCTATCTTCCTCCCCAGCCTGCCTCCTGCCTTATGGTCCTTAGGGGTTAGGTAATCCAGAAGACTCCCAGTTTCATAGAGGCACTAATCCCTTCAACTCTGACCTTATAAGTCCAATAATGTCAGCTGTCACCTTCTGTATATTCTAGGGGAGTGGAGGAAACCCTGAATGAATGCAGAAGGTGCAGATGAAGTCCTGAGTGAATGTGTATTATCGAAAAGGACCTCAGTGCCTCAGACCCAAGGGGATTGGCAGTCTTCCTCTGGTGCCTGTGGGAATGTTGACAGAGCACACAGAAGGCGTGGCCCCCAGCTACTTCCTTCAGGACGCAGAGACTGCCCCTTACCGAGCCCTGACTGAGAGTAGCTAACTCTTCCCATGTTGTGAGCAATAAACACACTGGTGCATCTCCATCATAACTCACATGCCCCAGCTTTTCTGTATGTGCATCTGTTATTTCTTCATTTCTGCAACATCCCAGTCAGGTTTTCGGTATCGTGCCCTGCAGGGCAGCGTGGATCCTTTAGAGCTGGCACTCTCAACACAAGGCCATGTTAGGATGGGGCCCTCCGTTGACTGGAATAGGAATTTGCTATCACACTGGGCCACACAGATAGCTATCTCAGAATTAGGGGGAAAATGGTTCCCTTATTTCTTTCTATCCTGTCTGGAGAAGCTAAACAAGAAAAAGTAGGCTCAGCTTCTTATTGGCTTTAGCTTAAGGAATGGAAACAAGAGCCACTGTCTCCCAAGTAAGCAAGTACTCAGGAAGGCCCACATTTCCCTGGCTTTAAGCCAGAGCCTCAGCTGGAATGAGAATGGCCCCAGCCATGAGATACCATGTGGGACTTGCCATCTAAACATCTTCTCAAGGACAAGTCACATCCAATTAAGCACAAGAACAAAGTAGTGTTGAAAACAAGAGCTATTTATTACAAAAGTAATGGTCTCTGATTATCTCTAGAAACTTAAAAAAAGAAAAGAAAAAAGGTGTGGTGGGTTAAGACATTGGCTGGGTTAAGCTGCTTGGCACATCTTCCTTCTTGCCAGCGGTCTGAGATGTACCACATCTCTGTCAGTTCTTGAGGAGTGCAACCAACATGTAAAGCAGCACCCTGGAGCCTACTGCCCCTCCATCTTCCAAATAGAACCCAAGTATTTAGTGATGTCACCAAGTGGCCTTTTTCCACAGGAATGTATGCCAGTTTGGGTATGGAAGAAGAGGGAGTAGGTGGGGAGCACTCTTCTTCCCATACTTGAACCAAAAGACCCCTTCTGTCCTCAATGTGACATTAGGGGGAGGGGTATGTTGGAGCCCACTGTGCTCTCCTACCTACTCTGGCTCTTGAAGGCTCCCCCTGGTTACTTCAGGGTTCCTTCCCTCTAACAAGTACTTCCAGAAATAGAGCACAAGAAAAATCAGCCACCTGTTAGATGCCCCATGGGCCACCTTAAGAGCCAAGCACAGATTCCAGCATCCCTCTCAGGAGAATCTACCCAGACGGTACCCCACTGGGCTCAAAAGCAACCAGCCCAGCCTGGAACTATAGGCAAAAGTCAGGGAGGGCAATGGGAGCAGAGTTCCCCAGTCCCTGCAAGAAATGCAATTAAACAGACAGTTCAGATTCCACACACAAGCTGCACTTCCTGCTGGGAGGAGAAGGGAAGTCAAAAGGGCTGCAGTCATGGGAGAGGATGGGCAGTGGGCCTCAGATCTAATTAGCTACCTTGCCTTGCTCTTGACCGGGCTGCATTTCCTCTATTAACATTAATGATGCTCCAGCTGAATGTCCAAGCGGGGCCCAGAAGCTTTCCTCTCCACCACTCTGTAGGTAGCACAGCCTGTCCCTGAGACCAATTTCCAGTCTCCATGGCAACCACCTCCTGAAGATGCTTTAAGAGCTCTGACCCTGTCAGAGTTGTTGAGAGCTATAGTGGGTGGAAGATGGAGTACGGCAAATTCATCATTAAACCTTGAAATATCAAAATCTTCTGGGATCAAATCATTATTTTGTTCTGAACTGAAAGGAAGAAGGAAGACTAAAGGGCTGGTCTTGGATAGCTTTAGTTCTTACAAAATTTTCTTACTCCCTTTGGGCAAGGAAATGGAAAAACTTAAAGTGGTGGACAGCAGAAGCTGTCATGCGTTTCCAGGAGTTCTGGGCCTTTGAGGAAAAGACTTGGTAAAGCAGTGTCAGAAAGGAAGGAAATGACAAGGAAGCAAAATAAGGTATTGTCAGGGAGGGCTAGAAGTGTGAAAACAGGAACGCCATGCCGGAACAAAACTTCAGCCCAGAGAGGCTATGTGATCCCTATCCCTGCATCTCATATGCTCAGCCCCACACATCCCGGCTCTGACTCAACAGCTGGCTCAGAGAAAAAGGGATGGAGGGATGGCCAGTGAGAAACAGACACTGGGCACATGGCAGCCAAGATGTGGGTTCCACCCACCCAGTTCAGAGAACAGGGAATCAAAAATCTAAGGACGGTCAACCACAGACTGGCAACTTCTCTGCCAGCTTGTGCCCTAGAACCCAGTGCTCTGTGCACACTAAAGGCAGCACTGTATCCACACAAGACACTGGGGGCAGCAGCAGAGGGCCAGCCCGCAGTGTGGGTAGAAGGGTAGGAGTTTTGATGGTCCCACCTGCTGTGCCTTGTAACACCATGAGGGTGGGACAGCACTCTGCCCTGCTGGAGATCAAAGAATTTCTTATGGACCTTATAAACCTGAGTGAAACCAAATCCAATGTGAAAAGATACCAGAGAATATCCTGTTAACCTTGGACCATTTTTTGGAATTTATGACACTTGACTCCAGTTAGGTGGTCTACATGCCAAGGAGATTGGACACAGTTCCCTCCCACACTCACACCTGCTTTCTTTGTGTTGACAGGAGAGGGAACTGGCACCAAGTGGTGCTGTAGGTGCTGCAGACAGGGGCGTGGTTCCTTTTAGTGTTGAGTTAAATCCAGGTCTGTTTCCCAGAGTTTGGTCTTGGGGGTAGCAGAGTGCTTTAGGCTCCACAGGCAGCTCCCCTGAAGTTGGAAGGGTCCAGGATCTGGCTTCAAAGTTGGGTGTCTCTGGACAATACCTGGATTCAGGTTGGGGTCCTGGCAGTGGCCTCAAAATTCCCATGATTCCAGCCACCTTAGTCCTGCCATTGGACTCTCGGGTTCCTGGGCTAGGGGACCAACCATCCCATAAGCCAGAGGGTGGAAGAGGTAGAAGCTACGAGAATGAGAGAAACTGGTCAGCATCCCAGAACTTCACCAACTGCAACTTCCCCTGCTGGAGCCCATCCCACAAAATAACCTAGTCTGTTCATCTATCCGTCCGTCCGTCTGTCCATTCCTCCATTCATCTATGCCCATCCAAGTCCACTGTGATAACATTGGCTGAGTGACCAGGAGGGAAAAGGCTTTCCCCAACAAGCCTAACAGAGGTAACCTTTTAGGGGTCTGGCCATGGGAATGTGTAGCTCAGAGTGCTTGCCAATATGTAAATTTAACCTTTTCAGCAGACACAAGCTCATGGGTCACAGGCCTCATTACAATGGCCAAAGACTCTTGACAGGGGCTCTGAGACTTTCCAGAAGGCAGAGAAAGAAGGACTTTACAAAGAACAATTTTGAGTCAAGCCCTATACCCCCAGTGCCATGCTTCCCATCCTCCCTCTCATCCCACTGTCTGATGTTTTAGCAAGGAGCCACTGTGACTAGAAAGGGGCACCTTCAGGTGTGCTGGGGTGCTGTCACAGCCAAGAACCACTAGCAAGGAGAAAGGAGAATGAGACCCTTTCTGTTCCTACCCAACTACACATCAGGATCACTCAGGCCTAACAGATTCAGAACCCCCAGGGACATGGCCCAGCCCTGGGAAGACCTTAAAACACCCCAGAGATTTTCAAATGTACCTAGAGCTCAAGCTGAAGGCTAATGTGAGGGGATACATACCTGTACGCAGTTGCCAGAAGCAGGCTTACGATTCCCATGGCATGTATTCTTCTACCCACAGGAGAAGAGGCCAAGCCCCAGGCACAGAGCTGTAGGAGGGTGTCCCACAGGATCCCTGTGGAAAGCAGGAGACCTGTACCAGCCTGTGAGGACAACCCCTGGGGATCCCACAGGAAGGAGGCACCACAGTAAGTCTGCTCTGCTCCTCAGGTGGCTCCCCTCCTTTCCCACCTAGCCTCCCAGTGCTTGTTTCCCCGGGGCAGGTAGGCAGGAGTGCTGACCTGTCAACATGCTAGAGAAGAGCATGGCTGGGAAGTAGTGGTGGAAGTAGAGGATCCGGCCCATCAGGAAGAAAGGGAAGTAATGGAGCGTCCAGCCCAGCAGCAGCTGGCCACCTCCTCGCAGCAGCACCCTGGTCAGCCCTGTGCAGCCCAATCAGCACAGCCCAATGAGCAGGCAGTGGAGGCAGAGCCCAGCTCTGCCCTGACTTAGTGTGTGACGCTGAGTAGGTCACACCATCTCACTAGGCCTTCCTTTCCTCACGTGGACTACCCAAATCCCATGGCAACTAGAAAGAGAAGCCAGCAGGTCTCTAGAGTCCCTGGTCAGTACCCAGCTTGGCAGGGATATCAACAGGGCCTGATGTGGGCGTCAGGCAGGAGACACACACCCCCAGACAGCTGTCTTCTTTGTCTCTACTTCCCACCTCTTTGTTGTCAGAGACATTCCCCAGCAAGGAGGTCAGAAAGGAGGCTTGGTAGGAAGTGTCTGGCGCTGGCAAGGACAGAAGGGTCTGTGTGGTGCCACCCATGCCAAAGTAACCAAGAGACCAATCACTGCAGTGGCCTGGAGCTACTTCTCTATCCCCACTAGAGGACAAGGCATGGGACAAAGGAGGCAGAGGAAGAAAGCGAGTCTGAAAGTGAAGGCTCTGAAGGCAAACTGCTGGGGTCTGAGCCTCACTGCCATCACCACTGGTTACGTGCCCTGTGACAGCTCTTTGTCTCACTGTGCCTAGTTTCCTAATACACAGAAAGGGTGATGACACTTTGCTACAGGGCTACTGGGAAGATGCAAAATCTTGAGCCCAGTGTAAGGTGTCACTTGATTATGGGCTTCCAAAGCAAAAGAGAGGGAGTGTGTGTACTGGGGGAGGGAAGGGAAGCTCCACAGCAGGCAGGACCGCCCCCCCGCCCCCGAGTGCAGGACAAGCAAGCTGAAAGACAGAGCAGGGAAAGCCCAGATGCCCTGACCTTCCAACTCTGCTGGCAGCTGTACCCCTCTCTTAATAGCGATGGCAATGGTGCTCCCCAAAAGGAGGTAGAGGACAATGCTCACCAGATTCAGCCACCAGACCACCTGTATAGAAGAAGAGCTGGGGATAAGTGGACACCAACTTCTACAGGCAGATGCATAGCCCTACATATTCAGAACTGGGATACTCACAGGGTTGCCAAGCAGATAGACTCGGAAGTCTGTGTCATTGGCCCCTGAGAAGCGCAGGCCCTGTGGAGCAAAGGACACCCTGCTGATTCAAGGCATAGCTCATCCCCAGCCACCCCCATTCAAGGGGAAGGAAGTTATATATGTTACACACTTTTGTAGACAAGTATCCTGGACAGGAGGCTCAGAATGCACATTCTACATCAACTCTCTAGGACGTGGGCATCAGAATCAGGCAGCCCCTTTCCTGGCCAGTCCCCCAGGTGAGGCTTCCCCTTGTCACAAATAGTCCAGTTCCACAGACTCAATGGGTCTTTTTCTTGGTTCTATTTCCTGGAGGAGCTCAAGTCTTAGGCCCTACCTGATAATTGATAGGC